AACGGGAGGCGTGACAGGGGATCGAGGGGGAGGGGGTCGCTGCTTTCGCGCAATCCGTCGCTGTGCCCTCGCTTTCGCCAACGACTTGGCCCGGGGCGCGACGGGGGAGGGACGGCTGGCCTTCGAAATTGAGGGGGGCGACGCGTTGTTGTGGGTTGTAGATTCCACCTCGGGAAGATGCCATTTGGCGAGGAAAATGTGGTGCTCGCTACCCACGGCAAATGACTCGCTTAATTTCGGTAGCGCTCCTCGTACCTCGAATACCTGGGTTTTCCTTAATCTGATATTATACCCTTGAATCATTTTCGAATGACGCAGCGTATAAAATTATATCCACATTAGCAGATACGTGATGGAATTTTGCATTTACAATGTTTATTTCACATTTTATATCATAGTTATTTTTTGTTTTTAAGTTAAATGTCTGCATTCTGTGCAATACAGGTTTATCCAAATGCGTGTCCCAAGAACATTACTATCAACAGAGTTGCGCAAACCTTTTTTGCCATTGATTTGAATTTTCGATGCGATCGACCGACAACTTTCTTTTCACTGCTTCATGCATGTATATAATTACGCTTCATTACGTAATGTCCAAGACGGAAATATCAAGAAGTGTCTAACCGAAGAAATGTCTATTAGTAATGTTTTACAAATAACGTTTCTTGAAAAATAATAAATCAAAATTTGAATTACTGTCAAATGGTTTTCCTTTCCCCCTATCGTTTATTTTGATGCCAAACGTAGCTATACTGGCCAAGCGAGACTACGAATATAAAACATTTATTCAGTTTGTACGCGAAAACTGTAAAAGGACGTAATTTACTAAATATATGAGCAAGATTTATCCACTTTTTTGTTAAAAGGCACTAGTTTTTCTGTCGAATAATCATTACTTTTCGCTGCTTACAATACTAAACTTCCCTTTACTATGTAAGTATGTGGTAGACAAGAAACACGAATGAAGTCCTCTAGGTTTCTCTGGAGGATGAAATAAAAACCTCATATATTTTAAGGATTTCTGCCTTTTAAGTTATTTTTTACCATTCCATGAAACTCTGTCGAATTATCTTTTGGTATGAAAAAAATTCGACAAACGTTTCAATTCAAATTATGATTTAAACTCTGTCCCGGAAGGCCTTCGCGGCCGAACGGCAAGGAAACAGATATCAAAAATTAATAATGCTTTACAATGCTAGCAAGTTTTGGTAGACGTATTTTTTGAATACGCTATGAGTATTCCGCTGCGTTGTGTAGAAAATACTGTCTTCATTTCGTATTTCCTGGAATGACTCATCAGGAAACTTTCCCTAACAGAAAGAAAAGAATTGTAATATGAATCGAAATTTGATACTTACACTTCGTGAACGCTTCTAAAATTGAAATACGATATTGCTTCAGCTATGCGTAGTTGCTGACGTATCGTATCCTGCAGAATGAAAGAAGACACCTATTCGGTCACCTTGAAACTTCCTTGAAAAATGATTGTGAGCGAAAGAAAGGAATGACGCACTTTTTTCCTGGTGAAGAATTATAACGATTCTTCGTAATATAGTTTAGAAAATAGGTAGATCGTCATTTAACATTGCAAGTTTTCATTACTTTAAACACAATGTGGTAACAATTATGTCTGGTTTTATTTATCAAGAGAAATAAATTTGAAGAATGATAACGATTCTCAGTAACATGGTATTCCTCGATGAATGATCTTTAATTTACTTGAATATATTATATTTTTCTTGAATATTTTATATTTTTATACACAATTATACGTCGTAAATATTACGGAGAAACAAAAATGATTTGGTCTTTAGTGATGCCATATTGTTTACAAATGTGGTGTAGGCCTCGTTCTTCGGCTCTTTGCTGAAAATCACACGCTAGTGGTTGCGGTGGTGGCATTTGGTGACGGCATTTTGCTTGCTATTTGAAAATACTATTTAGGTGGTGGAGGTTTTCTGAAGAAAGTAGCGGTGAAGGTGCAGGTGAAGGAAGAAGACTTCTTACTCTGTGATGTTACGAGCAAGTTCTGGCTGGTAAGTGGTGGTTTCATTATTTTTGCGGTTGAATTATGCTATCAGCGATCTTGGCAAACAGTGTTGTGCAGATAAACTTGTTCAAAAATATAAATTCAGGAACAGATGATGTTTGTACATGTGGCGTATTGAAAAACCAACATAATTCATTGCGCAAAATTTTGATCCGTGAGGAATATTCACATTGTGACATATTCGGAAATGGTTTGAAATGCAAATGCAGTTGATGTAGGACGCAGTTGTGCCTGATGAGTGACTGTGACGTGGCACGGGGCGTGGCGAAACGGGATGGAACGGTGTGATGTAGACGGAGGCTGGGACGGTCCCGGCGGGGTGGGACAGGATGGTTCGAGAAACGCATCGTTTCGTGAGGCGGGCGAGGCGAGAGACAGAGTCGGAGGGGGTGGATGACGAGGGG